GATCTCAGCCTTACAGCTAGACTATGCAACAGAAGACGAGCGGGTGGACCTCCATGAGATGGCATCTGCACCAAGGCTAAAATAGTAGCCCTGGGAGGACATAAGCATGTCGTCCACCCATGAAGCATCTGTGTGTTCTGTAAGGACCACTGGCCTGCATCCTCCTAGCACTAGCCCCATGCCCGATGTACTTGCTAGATAACGCAAAACACTCTTAGCAGCCGACCAGTGTTGTGGTCAGTGTCTGCCTGTGGCCACAAAGCGAGCCAGGATGCTGAGAGCGTATGCGATATCTGGACGAGTGCAAGTCATCAGTTACACGAGGCAACCCACCAGCTCTGCGTACGGACCACTAGGCTCTACCGACTCGTTAGGGACTGGAGCCGAGTGCCTGTGATCTACTGGCAGAGATGTTGGCTTTGTAGAGGAGAACTGAAGGCTGAACCTATGAAGGACCTGGCGCACCAAGTGTGACTGATGAGAGTGATGGTGCGCGCTGCTTTATCTCTGGGGATCTGCAGGCCCAGGTAGTGGCGCAGCTCTCCTAGGTCAGTGCAGGTCTGTCTCCTCAGCAGCCCAGCCTTGACGGAGGTCAGTGCATCTCTGTCTGCTGTAGCGAAGACCAGGTCGTCTACGTAGACTAGAATGTAGAACGGAGTCTGGCCTGAGCGAACGAAGAGCGAAGGGTCAGCAGAGGCTGGGAAGAAATGCAAGTCTGCTAACGTTGAACGCAGTGTGTCGTGCCACTCACTAGGCGCCTACTGCGGACCGTAAATCGGGCACCGGAGGAGCCTCTCGGTCCAAAGAGGGAAAGAGCCGGAAAAGCCTGGCGGATGGCGTAGGTAGACCTACTTGTGCAGACTGCCGTGGAGAAACGCTGTAGAGAAGTCGAGGGAGTGCAGCTCGTATTCGCGCTGTTCTGCTACGTAAAACAACGACCGAAGAGTGGTAATCTTCGGGGTCGGGGCGAAGGTCTGAAAGAAGTCAACACCCTCACGCTGACTGAAGCCTCTAGCAACGTAGCGCGCCTTGAACACCGGAAGCTCTCCGAGAGGGTGCTTCACCCTTAAGAGCCACAGGCCATCGACTACGTTCAGCCCAGGTGGGGGAATAGCGGTGACGTAGGTGTTGGTGGATCTCCAAGATGCCATCTTCGCGTCCATGACAGCTATTCACTGAGAGGCCCAATGTCCTGAGGTCGCCTCAGCGTAGGTGCGAGAGGTCAGAATGTAAATAGCGTCTGGGTTACCCTCAGGGGCTAGCAGCATGGAGCAGAGATGAGGAGCGAGCTCGGACAAGAATGTTAGCTCGTACCTCCTGTCCTCTGGGACGTCACTTCCTGGGGCAGGTGCACCCCTGACGTACAGAGGACGGTCAGGGTCAGAGACGTGTCCAGGGGGAAGCCAAGAAATACACAAGGGACGGCGCGGGCAGTAATCTTGTTCGCGCGAGAGTCGCGTGCGTGAGCTAGGCATCCCCAGACGTGAAACGCAGACGCGTTACCAGGGGACCAAGTCCAAAGGAGGGTCGGCGAAACATGCGGCCACTGGGAGTGTAGTGACAATTTAAGCTTGTGACCGGCATAGCAAAGAGCAAACAGCCACAGAAAATGAGGTGCACCGAGATGGATCATGGAGGTACGAGCCACCTCCTTGACCAAACCAATGCGTTGCTTAGCGACCCTTTTCTGCTGCGGGGAGTCCGACAGGGTGTACGACTGGGTGATGCCCTCCGCACGACAGATGTGGCCAAGCTTACTGGAGGCGAACTCACCGCCGCAGTCAGAGTGGAGACAGGGCACTCGCAGGGCGCGGTGGACACGCGCAGCGACAAGCCATGGGATAAAAACGTCAGGCACATCGGCCTTCCGCTCTAGGGGAAACACCGTAGTGTAGAGCGTATTGTTGTCTACGAGCACCAGAAAGTAGCACTCGCGACGCTGCCCAGGGACGGGTGCTGGGCCCCAAACGTCCAGGTGCAGGGTTTGGAGTGCCGTAGAGGTAGGGGAAAACGAGGAGGAGTGAGGAGCACGGCACAGCTAGCCTTCCACGCAAGGCGTGCACAGAGGCGCGAGCGAGGGAGGGAGGGCAGGGAGCAACGTAGGGAGATCTAAGACAAGACCGTGCTGGGACATGTAACGCGAGCGCGGGAGTGTGGGGTGACGTAAGCGGTGGTGCCACAGAAGCGACGGGTGAGTGAGCAACCGACACGAGCAAGCCGTAGTAATCTGGGGAGACGCCGCCACCTGAGAGGACGCTCCCACCGAGGGGGACGCAGTGTCCAGCCTTAACAGGCCAGACACCGGGTCTGGGGGAACGTGGTGAGACGGACACCGGTGGCGGCCTCGGTACAGTCTGCGTACCGCTCGTGTCCAGGGAACTTAGTGGTGACACCGAGGTCCTGAAGACTGCTGACACCCGCTAGGAGGTGTGGAAGCCGGTGAGGGAGGCCGAGGGAACCACGGGACAAGGAAGGGTGGTGGAGCTATGTGGACCTACCGGACCTGAGGAGGGGAGGAGGTCCTATGCCTGACGCAGCAGGGGAGCCTAGACTACACACAGTGGACACACCTACACTAGGCAATACAGGGTAATAAGGTTTTGTCACACTAGAGTCATCAATATACATGGCAGACAAAGCAGAGCGAATCTGGTCCATATCCATCTCAAAGACCGGCACACGGCGGCGTTCCAGGTTGTGCCAGTCGGGGAGGTCTGGCGCAGGCGCGAAACAGAGACGGAAGAGGTCGTCGAGGCGGCGGTAGCAGCGGGCGGCGGTGTAACCGGGATGGTCACACACGGAGCCGCGACGGGGGCCGGTCTGAAGCTGGTACTGGCAGGTCATCACACTAGAGCCGCCACCCGACGCCGAGCTGCGCGAGCCGCCACCGCGGCCGCCACCACCAAAAACGCCTGGCCACCACGGCAAGAGGGGTCCCCACGGCTGCTGCTGCGTTTGCTGCTGCTCATGCTGCTGCGACGGGGCATCAGTCCCAATCCCCTCGTCTGCACCACCGGCACTCGTACCACATCCCCCACCTCCGCCACCCCCGCCACCCTCGCCACCCCTCCCTCCGCCACGGCCCCCTCAAGGCGGCGGCCTTTATCCTGACGAGGCTGCGCTGAGGCCGCCACGGCGGTCTCACCAGCAGGGGCTGTCACAACAACATTGGCAGGAATGTAAGAGTAAGTGCACTGGGAGGGAGCAGAGCCCTAGAAGATAGGGACTGCCGCAGTATCGCTAGACTGAGCGAAAATGCGCTAGCGGGTCTCTATCGCGGACAGGGTGGTGACCAATTCAATGAGGGTGAGGTCAGCGGGGCGGAGACCGAGGAAGTGGTCGCGGGCAGTGGCGAGGCGGTCGGGAAGGCGCGTGGCAAGGAAGTAGAGGGTAGCGCCGAGGGGGGAAGGCAGTACAGTGAGTTGGGCCTCAGTGCTAGCAACGCGGTAGCTAGTCTCAAATGCGCGCAGGTGAATGGCAGGGTCAGCGATAGTAGGGAAGGATGCAAGATCAGGAAAGAGCAGGGGGAGAAGGAGAGGACCAGCAGAGGTGGAGGAGGGAGCGAAATAGCGCACAATGACAGCATCGAAGTATTCCTTCGCAGTCTCTACAGGCTGAAAGGGGGGACGCTCGGACAGGGGGGGGGGCGTAACTGATAGCAAGCTGCGCAACTGCGTCGCGCGATTCCCAGATAAAGCGGGCTAGCTTAGCAGCTGCAAAGGCTTCACACTTAGCAACCATGGGGGCGTCATGGAGGGCAACAGACAGGTCGGGGCAGGGGAGCTTACCATCGACGTGGACGGCCAGGGACAGGTCATCCTGGCGCTGACCCTTCAGCTGACGGCGGAGGTTGGCGAGCCACACCTCAAAGTCGACCGCCCGACCCTCCGCGTCCAGGCGGAGCACAACTTCCGCCATCATTACGGCTGCAGCAGCTGACGACCAATAGAGGAGGAGTTTAGGGCAGGCAGGTGCGGTGAAGAGCTGGGGGGGGGGAGCGGTAGTGGAGAGCGGTGAAGTCGCGGCAGAGGAGACAGCCAGCGAAAGCGTCAGCTCAGAGTGGAACCTGAGTCGTCGGCAACAAGGGGCCGGCAGGTCGGGGTGGCACAGCAGCACGGCGGCCTGGGGCGGCGCGACAGGCTGGGGCCGGCGACGAGGCCGGCGACTCGGCTAGCAAAGGCCGGCTGCGGGCCGGTGGCGAGCAAGGAGCCGCGCGCGCGCTGGGCTGGGGCTGGCGAGCTGGGGCCGGCAGGAGCTGGGGCCAGCGAGATCTGGGGCCGGCAAACAGGGGTCGGCGCGAACTGGGGCCGGTGAGCTGGGGTCGGCGAGCTGGGGCCGGTGCGAGCAAGGGCCGGCGAGCGAGGGCCGGCGAGTAGGAGCTGGCGAGCTAGGGCCGGCGATCGGAGGCCGGTGAGCTAGGGCCGGCGGGCAGGGGGCCGCACGGCGAGGAACGAGGCCGGCATCGTTAGGGGCTTGCGGCGGCGGCGCGTTAGGGGCATGCGGTGAGCTAGGGGCGTGCGACGGCGGCGCGTTAGAGGGCGCGCGGCGCGCGAGGGGCCAGCAGCGAGCTAGGGCGGGACTAGGGCGGAAGCCCGGGTGGGAAGGACTAACCTAGGCTGATACCATCTCATAATAGCGCATTGAAACTAGAAAAGGGCATGGGTGTTCTTATGCTTGTGTGTTGTACCCTCTAAGAACATGCACCTATCTAGCCTATAACAACAAATATATATAAGTTGACACTCTCCACACACCCGATAAGAGGTGTTAATCATGCTAGTGGGAAAGGTTGGTGGGACCGTAAGGGGCAAGGAGTGGGGTATTGTGGCAATGTATCTTTTGGGCTTATGACTACGAAATGTGAATCTACGAAATGTGACTACGATTACTGCAAACAATAATTTTGTAGGAATTATCTGCATCCCAGACCATGCACACCATCAAGCCTACACTTGTGTGTAATTACAAATGCCTTGCTCTCACTATGGGATCAGCATAGAGCTGTGAAATGCAATGGGAAGTAGTAACAAGATTTAAGGACACCATCAGGTTCATTCCCAATATGGAGAATGGATGGAATGGCGAGGGGTTACCTATGCGGCACGTCCATTCCCATCCCACCTATCCTGGTCTAAGGTGGAATCTAATTAGCAAACTATCTGCTAATGGTACAGAGAATACAAAACCGTCTCAAATCTGCGAGCTGGATTGGAAGCCTAGCAAACCATAGGACAGCACGTGTCCCGCTATAAAGTACAGCCTATTGGAAGGTATCCTCGAACTTCATGTTGGTGAAGAGGACATCCACCCATGCGTCGGGCACGCCTGGTAAGCACCAGTGCGTGCAATCGCCGGTGAACGGCGACTCCTTCCTGTCCCCCGGCGAGTCGGGGCCCGTCTGGTTGCGCGGCTGCCACCACACGCCCAGGTGGCCGTCGGGGCGCATCTCGCTCATCTGCGTGACGGGCAGGAAGCGGATGGGCGTGCCCGCCAGAGTCACCTGCTGCGCGTCGGCGTACGCCTTGGCAGCGGGCAGCGTGTTCGCGTACTTGATCTTCGCGTCCTCGTCGATGGGGCCGCGCGCGCCGCACGCGCCCACCCACAGCGGGTACTTGGGGCCCTTCTTCTTGTTCATCACACCGCGCTGCGGCGCGCCGCGGCCGCCGTGCTTGGGGGAGTAGGAGAGGAAGTAGGGCACGCCGCTGTAGTTGCACGCCTTGACGTGCTTCGCCACCGTCGCGATGCCCCACGTGTGCGCCGCCGAGTTGGTGAGGTTGCGGCGCGCGCCGTTGGCGAAGAACTGGTTGGGCTCGCGCACGCCGGGCTTGTTCTGCAGCCACCAGATGCCCGTGCCCAGCACCACGGCGTCGTAGTCCGGCAGGATCTTCACGAGCGTGGGGTCCACCTCGTCCACGTACACGTCGTGCGCGTGCCCGCCGCCCGGCTTGCGGCTCTCGCCCGACGACTTCTGGGACAGCTTGGTGGCGCGCACCAGGTACGGCGCGAAGTAGAAGTCGATGGAGCCGGAGAATGCGGAGAAGCGCACGCGGCGGATGTCGAAGGTGGCGTTGGTGGAGATGGAGTACTCCTGGGGAACGAGGGCGGGCGAGGGGGAAGCGGGCAAGCCATGGATCAGCTGGCGGAATAAGAGCGGCGCAAACAGCTAGTGGAGTGCGGCGTTTTCCGAAACTTTCAAGAGCTGTTTCAAAAGTAGTGGCGGCGTCTCGTGTGGCTACAAAATACCGCCAACGGGTGCGGGATGGTGAGTGCGGGACGCACCTTGCCCTCGTAGCCGCCGGTGTGGATGAGGCAGAGCAGCGATTCGTAGAAGTTCATCATGATGGAGTCGCCCACCACCAGCATGTTCTGCCCACCACAACGCACAACGCACAACGACCACACGCGCTCAGCTGACGCACAGGCTGTGGCGACAATGCGGGGCAGCAGAGATTGAGGGGTCGAAAGAGACGGCAGGGGGACTGTGAGCGCGCACCTTCTTGCGCATCATGTATTTGAAGCCGGGCGCGCTGAAGTACGAGATGATGCAGTTGTCGGGCTGCCAGCGATACTGCGTGTAGTAGTCGTCGGGGCGGTTGTTGCGCTGGCACGAGTACTCGGACCGGATGTACGGGCACGAGTTCCACTCCCCCGACAGCCCCGTGTACCGCGGAAAACGGTTCGCCGCGCGAACCCATCGGCCGTCAGATAAATCGCACCCTGGGCGTAGGCGACAGGCGGGAGAAGGTCAACAGGTGAGGCGAATGTTGTTAAGCGATGAACGCGGAAGTTATGGTTGAGTTTTAAGAGCAGCATTCAGATTAGACTGTAGTTTGAACGGAGAGCGCTCAAATGTGGTCTTTTTCGGGAGTCGTACTGAATTCGCGCCTCTTAGAACGTACCTTTCTGGGGATCCGGAAGTCTGGCATACGCGGTGCCTGCAAGATACAGAAGCGCCACCACTAACACGACATGGCCCTGTGAGTACATCCTGTCGACGATGGGTAGACCGAATTCGAGTCTGCAAAACAGGTCGACTGGAGCCCTGCTAGCGCTACAAGACCGTTTCTACTATCTCAGCTCCTCGTTCGGATCACCGTGCGCGAGAAGGGATAAGGGCAGACTACAATATATGTGATGGCACACGGCGGGCGGTTTTAAAGGTCTCCAGAATTCGTAGTGTCGGTCATGGAGCTCAGTCTTGGTCCAGCTGATGAGCACGATGGCGTAACTTCGGGCTTTGTGGCACACCTTCTCCCGTCGTGAGAGGGGAAGCCCAGGGTGTGTGCCACCATGGAAGCACTCGGAGCTTGGTGCTCTCTACACTACGAGCCGCGCATTGCGGCCCGAATGCGTCGGGGTTTGGGAGTGGAGCAGCGTGGCATGGGAGTAGTGCTGGGGGTTCTGCCTCTTTCCGACGTGGGTTGCGCGAATCGACCTGGGTGCTGGTGAGGGGCGGGAAGGGACATTGGCGGAAATTGGCTCTTTATTGGAGAGTAGTTCCAGATTTTGAGGATATACACAACAATGTGTATAATTTGCATCATCACATTTCTCTCTATCACCAAACACAATCCCACCTTTTCATTTGCACACACACCTATATTTGAGGCTTATGATGCTTGTATCATTGATATTTTTCATGATTATATTTCAACAGATAACTCGCATTCATATTGTTGTGATAAATTCGTACTTCAACATTTCTGTAAGTAGTTCCGATAGATATTATCGAGTAACACTGAAGTTAGCATCCATAGAATGACGTCAGCAAATAGCGCTCGTCTGGATGAATACGTCAGCACACCGTTTCAGTCACGCGAACAGTCGCGCCCCTTTCAGTAGCGATTAGAGCGCATAGTGCAAGTAGTTTTGAACAAGTACATTGCCGAACAAGTACTTCTAGCAGATGTAAGAATAACTTATATGACCTCAATTATTAATATGTTCTTCAGTAAATTCTGGTCAACACTTACAAGTTCTAATACTTCCGTTTGTCACAAGACTAGCTTAGCTAGGAAGCCATAAAATGGCATGAGGTTTAGCTAGGAGCTAGGAGGAGCCATGGAAATGGCGAGAGGTTTTAGGTGCTAGGAAAGTTGAGGAGAGAAAAGAGTATCAGAATAGAAGAGAGAGGGATACAAGGAGGGGTAATGTACCCTATACAGTAAAGCTCAGTAAGCCTACCAAGCCTACAATTATATATCAGAATAATTGAATAATGGTAAAGTGAGAGTATACACAAATATATCTAAGTTTTGTATCCTCTAAGAGGTGACTCTATACAGTCTATACAAACATGACAAATACACATGTTTGACACACCCCCTAGACTGCATAGGGGAATACCCTAAACAAGCAGCTCAGGGCGGCACTACTAGTCCAACCTCTGAGACAAGGGTCTGAGCGACCGGTCAGAAGGAGTACAGACAAGGCAAGCACAAGAGCAGGGCGGCACTACTAGTCCAGCCACTGGGAGAGGACACAAGTCCAGTCTGAGTATACATATAAAGGACAGTACAAAGTCAAGGTCCTAGCAAGTGAGAGGCTACAGGAACTAGACCAAGCTGTACACAGTGCCGCTGATGATCTTTAGGCGCAAGCGCCTTCGTAAAGATATCAGCCGTGTTGGCACCTGAGGCCAAGTGTACTACGCGAGCCTGACGTCGCTGCTGTAGCTCACGCAGGAGGAAGTACCGCAGCTGAATGTGCTTCGCTCTGCCCTCGAGTCGAGGCTCCTGACACAGGAGGATCATGGCCCTGTTGTCAGCGAACAGGACCGGGGCAGAGCTAGGTCGCTCACCTAAGTCAGTGAGCAAGAAGGTCAGCCAGCGGAGCTCCTGTGCCGCCATGGCACCGGCGTAGATCTCAGCCTCACAGCTGGACTGTGCAACAGACGAGGAGCGAGTAGCTCTCCACGAGACGGCACCTGAGCCAAGGCTGAAGCAGTAGCCCTAGGTAGACCGGAGTGTCTCAGCGTCGTCTGCCCACGAAGCGTCTGTGTGCCCAGTAAGGACCGCTGGCCTGCGTCCTCCTAGCACTAACCCCATGCCCGATGTACTAGCAAGATAACGCAGAACCCTCTTAGCGGCAGACAAGTGCTGCGGTCGGTGTCTGCCTGTGGCCACAAAGCGAGCCAGGATGCTGAGAGGGTATGCGAGATCTGGGCGAGTGCAAGTCATCAGGTACATGAGGCAACCCACCAGCTCTGCGTAGGGGCCGCTGGGCTCTACCAACTCCTCAGGCACTGGAGCGGAGAGCCTGTGGTCTACAGGCAGAGGGGTGGGCTGTGCAGAGGAGAACTGAAGGCTGAACCTCTGAAGGACCTGGCGCACCAAGTGTGACTGAGTCAGGGTGATGGTGCGCGCAGCTCTGTCCCTGGAGATCTGCAAGCCAAGGTAACGGCGCAGTTCTCCAAGGTCAGTGCAGGTGTGTCTCTTCAGCAGCTCTGCCTTCACGGAGGCCAGCGCGTCCCTGTCTGCTGTGGCAAAGACCAGGTCGTCGACGTAAACGAGGATGTAGAACGGAGTCTGGCCAGCACGAACGAAGAGTGAAGGGTCTGCAGAAGACGGAAAGAACTGCAGGTCAGCAAGCGTAGCACGCAGAGTGTCGTGCCACTCACGGGGAGCCTGGCGCAGGCCGTAGACGGGGCGCCGCAGGAGCCACTGGGTCCCAGGAGGGAAGGTGCCGGTAAAGCCCGGAGGGCGGCGCAGGTAGACCTGCTCGTGTAGGCTGCCCTGAAGGAAGGCAGTGGAGAAGTCGAGGGAGTGAAGCTCGTAGTCACGCTGAGCAGCTAGGTGTAACAGAACCCGAAGAGTAGTCATCTTCGGGGTCGGAGCGAAAGTCTGGAAGAAGTCCACCCCCTCGCGCTGACTGAAGCCTCTAGCCACATAGCGCGCCTTGAAGACAGGCGGCTCTCCAGGAGGGCGCTTCACCTTGAAGAGCCAGCGGCCATCGACTACGTTCACCCCAGGTGGGGGAACTGCGTCGACGAAGGTGCCGGTGGATCTCCAAGATGCCATCTCCTGCTCCATGGCAGCTATCCACTGCGAGGCCCAGGGTCCCGAAGTCGCCTCAGCGTAAGTGCGAGGGGTCGGGATGTCGAAAGCGTCTGGGTCACCCTCAGGGACTAGCAGCATGGAACAGAGATGGGGAGCAGCCTCGGAGAGGAAAGCAAGCTCGAACTAGCGGTCCTCCAGGACGTCACTGCCAAGGGCAGGAGCACCCCCGACAGACGGAGGACAGGCAGGGTCAGAGACCAGAGCGGTGGCGTAGTCAAGGCGGCGGGTAGAGGCGAAGTCAGCGACAGCAGCGACAAGAGCGTCAAGGCACGAGACTGGAACAGACGGGTCGGTAACGAGAGAGGCAAGGACCCGAGGAACGAGAGGACGAGCGGCACGAAGGTAGTCGGACAGCGGGGGGGGCGCAACAACAAGGGAGGACGGAGGAGGCGACGGCAGAAGGGGAGGACGAGACGCGTGTGAACGAAGCAACATAGGGTGGGAGCGCAGGACAGGCGAGGCAGGACGAGCACGGGAGGGACGGTGAGACCAGACGTGCGATGGAGGAGTCGGGTCAGGAGACAGGGGAGGGGACACAGGAGGGGAACGAGGGGGGAGACGGGCCGGGGACGAGTCCAGCGGAGGGAAAACAGGGCCGTAGACAGGAAGAGGAGGAGACGGTCGGGGAGGAACCGACGCAGGGTCGGGGGACGGAAGGCCGAGCAGGCGAAGGGCGGACACCGGCGGGGACTGCTGCTGCGGCGGCACAACGGCGACACCTGGACCGCAAGCTGCTCCTCGGCTACCACCGGCACTCTCCACACCCGCACCCCCAGAGGGACCACCCTCAGGGCGACCGGGACGAGCACCCCCAGAGTCAGCGAACGGGCGCTGCGACTGCAGCGGCGGCGGCGGCGGCGGCGACGGCGACGGCTGCAGTGGCGGCAGGGACGGCGGAGGAGGGGACTGGGGAGGGGACACCTGGGGAGGGGCGGCCGGCGAGGACTGCACCGGAGGGCCACCAGAGTCAGAAGACTCCTCAACCGGGTCCACGGACGGAAGGGGGGTGACATGGGAGACACCAGAGGGGGCGGGACGGGGAGGAGGAGGAGGAGGGGCAGGGACTACCGGGGAAGGGGTGACCAGGAACAGGGGGGGGGTAACCGGGGGACCACGGTGGGGGAAGCGGCGGTAGTAGGAGACGGACTCGTCAAAGGTGACGTCACGAGAGTGAAAGAAGCGGTGAGACGGCGGGTGGTAAAAGTGCCAGTCGGACGCGTCAAGGGGAAAACCGAGGAAGACGCAGGGAAGGGTGCGGGCAGTGAGCTTGTCCGTGCCGGAGGCACGGACGTGAGCAAGGCAGCCCCAGACGTGGAACGCAGACGCGTCACCAGGAGACCCAGTCCACAGACGGGTCGGCGAAACCTGCGGCTGCTGAGGGTGCGGCCACAGGTTAAGCTGGTGAGAAGCGTAGCGCACATCGAACGGCCACAGAAAATGGGGTGCACCGGCATGGACCATGGAGGTGCGAGCGACCTCCATGACCAAGCCGATGCGTCGCTCAGCGACCCCATTCTGCTGTGGGGAGTCCGGTAGGGTGAACGTCTGGGTGATGCCCTCCGCACGACAAAAGCGACCAAGGACACCTGAGGCAAACTCGCCACCACGGTCTGAGTGAAGACGCAAGACAGGGAGACCGCGGTGGACACGCGCAGAGACAAGCCAGGGGATGAGGGCGCCAGGCACGTCGGCCTTGCGCTCCAGGGGAAAGACTGTGGTGTAACGAGTGAAGTCGTCGACAAGCACAAGGAAGTAGCGCTCGCGACGCGGCCCAGGGACGGGGGCGGGGCCCCAGACGTCCAGGTGCAGGGTCTGCAGCGGCGCGGCGGTAGGGGGGAACGAGGAGGAGTGAGGGGCACGGCGAAGCCGACCCTCGACACAGGGCGTGCAAGGTGGAGCTGGGGAGGAGGGAAACGCGGGGAGTGAACCTGGGAGACCAAGGACAAGACCGTGCTGGGACATGTGACGCAGACGCGGGAGCGCAGGGTGACCTAGGCGGTGGTGCCACAGGAGGGTCGGGTGAGTGAGGGAGCGACAGGAGCAGGCAGCAGCAACCTGGGTAGACACAGCCACCTGAGGGGGCGCTCCAGCCGGGGGGGGCACGGTGTCCAGAGTGAACAGGCCGGACACCGGGTCCCGGGGGAACGTGGACAGGGGGGCACCAGTGGCGGCCTCGGTACAGACAGCATACCGCTCGTGACCAGGGAACGTAGTGGTGACGCCAAGGTCCTGGAGGCAGCCGACACCAACTAGGTTCCTGGAGAACGAGGGGATATGCAGACCTGTAAGAGAGCCCGAAGGAACCGCCAGACAGGGAAGGGTGGTGGAACTGTGGGCGACTACCGGGCCGCCGGAGGGGTCAGCAAGAGAAACGGCAGCAGGAACAGGAAGCGGCGTCAGGGTGGTGGAGTCGCGGAAGAAACACCGAGAGGCGCCATAGTCCAAGGTGAAGGAAAGCGAAGCCGAGGGGTCTGGCGACGGAACGACGGCAGAAGCACCAAGACTACACAAAGCAGGGGATCCTACGCCTGACGCAGCAGGGGAGGCTAAGCTAGGCACACCTACACTAGGCAACGGAAGCACACTAGAGTCATCAGCATACATCACATGCAGAGCAGAAACAATGGCATCCATGTCCATATCAAAGATCTGAATCTGACGACTAAGCAAACTGTGCCAGTCCGGGAGGTCTGGCGACGGGCCGAAACGCTGACGAAAGAGGTCGTCCAGGCGACGAAAGCAGCGGGGAGTGGAGTGACCGATCTTACCGCAAACGAAACCGCGGCGAGGACCGGTCTGGATCTGGTACTGACAACGCCCGCCGGCAGAGCCACCACGCGGCACACCACCACGCGCCCGTCCATCGCCAGCGCCGGGCCACCCTGGCGGGAGAACACTCGTCTGCCGCGTCTGCGACGGCTGCTGCGGCTGCTGCGAAGGCTGCGACTGCGGCGGCTGCTGCGGCTGCTGCAACTGCAGGGGCGGCGACTCAGCTGGACTGGGCAGGGTCCCCTCGTCCGCTCCAGCACCCGGCGACCCGACCCCACCACTACCCCCGCCCGCACCCCCGCCGCCCCCTCCGCCGCGCCCAGCCTTGGGGCGGCGGCCCTTCCCAGAACGGGCCTGCGCTGCAGCAGCAGTCTCAGCCACTGCGGCAGAGCCGTCGGAGAAGGTACACTGAGCGGGGGCACAACCCTGAAAGATAGGGACCGGCACGACACCGCTCGCCTGGGCGATGGAGCGGTGACGGGTCTCTATCACAGTCAGGGTGTCGACAAAGTCAGTGAGGGTGAGGTCTGCGGGGTGAACACTAAGGAAGCGGTCGCGGGCGACAGCAAGGCGGTCAGGGAGGCGGGTGGCAAGCAGGTAGAGGGTAGAGGTAATGGGCGGCTGGTGGGCTCTAAGCTGTGCGTCAGTGCAGGCGGCGCGCCAGGTCTCCTCTATCGAGCGCAGGTGGGCAGCGAGGTCAGAGACAGTGGGGAACGAAGCAAGGTCAGGAAAGAGCAGCGGGAGGATCAGGCGACCCACCGAGGCAGCCGGAGGGGTGGAATAGCGCTTGATGACAGCATCTAAGTATGCCTGAGCAGTAGTGAGGGACCTAAAGCGAGGACGCTCGGACGGGGGGAGGGCGTTGCTAATGGCAAGCTGGGCGACAGCATCGCGAGAAAGCCAGACAGAGCGCGCACGGGCAGTGGCAGCAGTAGACTCACGCTCAGTGGGTGTGGGGTCAGCGGGCAGAATAGCAGGAGGGTCTGGGCAGGGGAGCGTACCGTCAAGGTGTGCGGAAAGCGGTTCACCATCCTGCCGCTGGCCAGTGAGTTGGCGGCGGAGGTCGGCAAGCCACGCCTCGAACTCTAGGGGCTGACCTTCAGCGTCGAAGCGAAGCTCCGCCGCCATCAGGAACAGTCCAGTGCTGTGCAGGGCGGTGCAGTGCGGTGCAGTGCGGTGCAGTGCGATACAGTGCTGTGCAGTGCGGTGCAGTGCGGTACTGTGCGGTACAGTGCAGTGCAGTGCGGTGCAGTGCGGTACAGTGCGGTGCAGTGCGGCGCAGTGCGGTGCAGGGAGGCACGGAGCAGGGCGGGGTGGGGGGGGGGGGGGGGGGGGGGGGGGGGGAACCGTACCAGTGAGGAGGACGGGGCCGGGGCTGGCCCGACGGGGCCGGGCGGGCGCGACGGGGCCGGGCTGATGCGACAGGGCCGGGACGGGGCGACGGGGCCGAGCGGGCGCGACGGGGCCGGGCTGGGGCGACGGGGCCGGGCGAGTGCGGCAGGGCCGGGCCGGTGCGACGGGGCCGGGCGAGCGGGACGGCGGCCGGGCTGGTGCGACGGGGCCGGGCGGCTGTGACGGGGCCGGGCAGGGTGCGACGGGGCCGGGCGGGTGCGACGGGGCCGGGCGGCTGCGACGGGGCCGGGCGAGCGCGACGGGCCGGGCAGGGTGCGACGGCGCCGGGCGGGCGCGACGGGGCCGGGCGGCGGCGACGGCGCCGGGCGGGCGCGACGGGGCCGGGCGGCGGAGACGGGGTCGGGCGGGCGCGACGGCGCCGGGCGGGCACGACGGGGCCGGGCGGCGGCGACGGGTACGACGCGGCCCAGGAGGGGCGCTACGGGGCCCAGGAGGGGCTCGACGGGGGGCCCAGGAGAGGCGCTACGAAGCCCAGGAGGGGCGCGACGAGGCCCAGGAGGGGCGCTACGGGGCCTGGGAGGGGCGCGACGGGGCCTGGGAGGGGCGCGACGGGGCCCAGGAGGGGCGCTACAGGGCCCAAGGAGGGCGCGACGGGGCCCAGGAGGGGCGCTACGGGGCCCAGGAGGGGCGCGACGGGGCCCAGGAGGGGCGCTACGGAGCCCAGGAGGGGCGCGACAGAGCCCAGGAGGGGCGCTACGGGGCCTGGAAGGAGCGCGACGGGGCCCAGGAGGGGCGCGACAGAGCCCAGGAGGGGCGCGACGAGGCCTGGGAGGAGCGCGACGGGGCCCAGGAGGGGCGCTAGGGGGCCCGGGAGGAGCGCGATGGGGCCTGGGAGGGGCGCGACGGGGCCTGGGAGGGCGTTACAGGGCCCAAGAGGGGCGCTACGAAGCCCAGGAGAGGCGCGACGAGGCCCAGGAGGGGCGCTACGGGGCCCAGGAGGGGCGCGACGGGGCGCTACGGGGCCTGGGAGGAGCGCGACGGGGCCCAGGAGGGGCGCTAGAGGGCCTGGGAGGGGCGCGACGGGGCCTGGGAGGGGCGCGACGGGGCCTGGGAGGGCGGTACAGGGCCCAGGAGGGGCGCTACGAGGCCTAGGAGGGGCGCTACGGGGCCTGGGAGGAGCGCGATGGGGCCCAGGAGGGGCGCTAGGGGGCCTGGGAGGAGCGCGACGGGGCCTGGGAGGAGCGCGACGGGGCCCAGGAGGGGCGCTAGGGGGCATGAGCGGAAGCGGTAGGTGGGGGGGGGGGGGATCCTACCTACGCGTGATACCATATCAGAATAATTGAATAATGGTAAAGTGAGAGTACACACAAATATATCTAAGTTTTGTATCCTCTAAGAGGTGACTCTATACAGTCTATACAAACATGACAAATACACATGTTTGACAGTATAGGCTTGGAAGGTGTTCTACAAAATACTTGATCCTACTGGAGAGGGGACGTCTCTACTCTTGTTCCCCATCTCTCTTCTCTAGTGCTCTCTTTTCTCTCGTCACTTTTCTCCTACCTACGTGCTAAAACCTATCGTAACAATTCACCCTTACTCCAATGTTCGTTCGAATAGCCAATCTGCAACATCGAATAGTAGCTCATACTCCGTACTCCAATTTGCAGTGATATCTATATGCTCTTGCGAGCCCCTTTCAGCCCAACATTATGGAGTGGGTTTTGTGCTACCATTGTGGGGTTAGGATTATGCTACAATGGTAGAACTACATCAGTCACAACATGCTGCTATCTAGTTCTTCTCTGTTATACATGTTTCATTGTACTCGCTGACGACAGCCTCGTTTCCATCAGTGGCCATGGGGACGGTGTGCTGGCAAGCAGCTTTCCTCTGCGCCTGGAGATAACATCAGGGATTGCCGTGGGAGCGAGGCGCACTTGGGCCTGGCTTGCGCCACTTCTCTAGGTGGTTGGGCTGGTTCGGAAAATCAGGGCTGCACCTGACCAAAAGAATGTCCCTCCGTCCTTGCCCGTCGTTTATACAGTGATCATTTCGTCATAATGGATTGTACACTGACGGCTTTTAGATAATGTTGACATGGTTTCTGCATGGGCGAATGATAATATTTATCGCCCCAGCGACAGTCGGTGGAGGTTGTTGGGCATGACAGTACATCATGACGATCACGACGGCTCACCAAGCTCGAGGTCGCGGCGTGGGCGCACGCCCGCTTCTGCTGGTTTCTCTCTGACTGGAGGGCCGCTGTGGGCCATGCGCCGTGCACTCTCAGCCGAGCATCAGGATGACACAGGGAGGGGAAGGGGTTGTGGGGGTTAAAGAAACCCTACACTCATTCCCCTCCACTTTGCGCGCAATTTCATATTTCCGCCCAGGTGACAGCTCCCTCATGCTCTACCTCCAGCCCCCACGGAACCAGGGAACCACTTCAGCATTGACTGTTGCCATAGTTGGCTGTGGTGCAGACTGTTGCAATGCAGCCAATTCAATTACCCCCGGATGTTTATTCAAGCATCTCCTAACCCTGGCTGTACCCTAACCATTAACCGCTTACGATGACTTCCAAAGGATTTTTTAGAACAATATTGTAGGCTGGACTATTAGTTATTTATATTGGACCGATCCGCCTAGTGGGAGAGTCACTAGCAGCGCTACCCCTTGCTGCACTGGAGCCAAAGGCGAAGGCGGTATTTCAAAGTTTTTATAGGGATGCACGGGGGAGGGGGCGAGTTCTCCTTTTCCGTGCCTCCGCGGCCTTTGCGGCCCGCCCGGCATCGGAGGGTGAGGTCGGACGATGGTTACCTCTTCGACCACGTCATGGCGGCTCAGCAAGCCGCCGACCCGCGCGCCCACCACGCCGGGCATCCTCAAGGCGGGTCTGCGTCCGGGCAGGCGGCGTCGAGCCGGTATCGGCAGCACCCGCAGTACATGCTGTCGGAGATCCCGAGCATCGAGGAGGAGGACCACGCCTCCTACGACCAACCCTCGCCCGCCGCTGAGTCCCCCCCCGTGCAACCCGTGTCACGGCGGGCGCACTCGTACTCGCGCGCTGGGTCCATGGGCAGGGAGGCGGAGGGGCAGGGGGATCGGGAGTGGGAGCGAGAGAGAGGGCATGAGCGGGACAGGGGGCGGCAACGAGATGCGCCGGCGCGGGATTGGAGGGACGGCGAGCGCGAGAGAGGCAGTGGGACAGAGAGGGGCGGGGCGATGGAGTACGGCAGGGGGCGCGAGAGAGAGGCAGAGGCGGCGAGGAGCAGGGAGTCGGAGAGGAGTGGCAGCTGGAAGGACAGCGAGAGGCAGGGAGGGGAAAGGGGCAGTTTCAGGGACAGGGATCGCGCTGGCGGCGAGAAGAGCGCGGGTAGTTCCCGTGAGCGCGATCGCGCGGACAGGGGCACGGGGAGCTCGAGAGAGAGGGGTGAGCGCGCTGTGGCGAGCGGCAGCGTGCGCGAGAGGGAACGGCTGGAGCGAGAGAGGGAAAGGGAGCGCGAGTACGAGCGAGAGAGAGAGAGTGAGTGGGGCCGTGACGATTCGACGAGAAGGGAGCTAGCGTATGAGGAGGTTGAGGAGGAGGGGTACTACCAGGAGCAGTCGCGGTACCAGGCACCGCAGCACGCACATGCGCATCAGCACTATCAGCAACCGCCTGCAAAGGGGCGAACGGACGGTCACACGTCGCAGTCGGCAATGCAGCAGCAGCAGCAGCAGCAGCCCCGTCAGTCGCCGCAGGTGTTGGTACAGCAGCACCACCACCACACGCGAGACGGCCTCTCCTCCCCGCCGCAGCGCCAGCCCATGCCTCGCGCCTCTCGTCCCACCTCCGCGGGCTTTCCCTCCCCCCTGGCGCCTGGCCCCAAGGGTTACTCCCCCTCGCCCAGTTCCTCAGGGCCCACGGGCGGCCAGGCGGGGGAGGCGCGCTACGGGTCGCCGGCGGGCCCGGTGGAGGCGCTGAAGCAGGGCGCGCGGCACCGGCGCATCCGGTCAGAGGACGCGTCCATGTTCCACCGCATGCTCGCGCACGACCACGGGGGCCAGTCCCCCGCCATGTCTCAAGGCGCAGGATCGCCAGGGGGGGGGGCACCGGGCGTCCGGAGCCCAGTTGTGCGGGCCGTGCCCGGCGGCGCTGCAGGCGGGGCGGGCAGCAGCCGCTTTCAGGGAGGGCCGGCGCCAGGGGGAGCTGGCTCCAGCGGGAGCACTGCGCGTGGAGGCGGGTACGGCGGCGGCGTGAATGGCGGTGGCGGGCCCATGTCGGGCGGCATGAGCGCAAGCGGTAGCGGCCCGCTGAGCGGCGGATCGGGGCAGCACATGACGGCGCGAAGCCCGCTGGAGGGTGCAGGCGATCGGTTGGCGGACTACAGTGGGGGCGGAAGCAGCAAGGAACGGCGCGCGCAAGTGACCCACCGATTTCCCTCGTCGCGGTCCGTGTCCGCCGTGCCCTCTCATGCCGTCGACCACGACCGCTCGCCGGACTCCCCCGTCCGCGCCTCAGGGGGGGGCATGCGCGGGGGAACGGGCATGGGGGGGAGCCAGAACCACAAGGAACAGTTGGGTGTCATGGGGTTGGCGCAGAGAGAAGGGCAGGCACAGGGAATGGGACGAGGCGGGGGGGGAAAGATGTTAATGCGGCCTCGTAGCATGAAGGCTCTGTCGTCGCCGGGCGACGTGGAGGGCGGCGAAGAGCAATCGCAGGGCTACGCTGCGACCGGGCAGAAACAGCACTGGCAGCAACACCAGCAGCCGCCGCCGCCGCAGCAGCAGTGGCAGCAGCAGCCTCAGCAGTTGCAGTGGCAGCAGCAGCAATTCGCCACCCCCCAGCAGCAGCAGCAGCAGCAGCAGATGCGTCGTCGATCGCACGATTTGCAATCAAGCCCCTGGCCCGACGACGATTCTCCCATGCGCTCCCCCCCTGACACCGCGCGCCTCTCCCTCGACTCCGCCGATCACCAGCCTCCGCGGGCTGCGCGGGTGGGCTCGCCGGCAGCAGGGGGGAGGGCAGCACCGTCGGGGAGCGGGGCTCCGCGCGGTGGAATGGGCGCGGGTTCGGGGCGAGGGTCAGGGAAAGGCGACGGGGCGTGGGGCGGCGCAGCAGAGGTGGTGACGGGTCGCATGCGGGAGGGCGCGGACTTGCGCCCCCTGGCCCTGCCGCGCCCCAACAGCAGCGGCGGCGTGCGCAGAGGCGCGGGGCTGGCGGGCGGCCCCGTGGACCGATCGCGGTCCAGCGACGGCAGCCCCGACCCCGGCGACATGGGGGGTGGCGGAGGGTGGGGGAAGGACGAGGGGGGCGTGTGGGGCCGGCGGGGCAAGGGCAAGGCGGGGCAGGCGATCACGGAGGAGGCGCTGGAGCAGCAGCTCAAGCTCAGCTCGCACCGCCTCGCCGCCGTCTCGCCCTCCTACCCCACCTCCCCGCCCCACTCCCCTCCGCGCGCTACCTCTTCGCGCTCCCATTCCGCGTCCACCGCGCCCACTGCTCCTGGGGCACCTGGGGGCGGTTCTGCGGCAGCCGCTCAGCTCTCCCCCGCAGCCAGCCGTCCTCCTGGGCGAAGTCCGCCCATGCGCATGACTGCGCGCAGCGCCAGCGGCACCTACTTCAGCTCCGCCGCCGCTGCTGTGGCGGCGGTGGGCGGGGGGCAAGGGATGGGCGGAGAGGGGGAGATGCGGGGGGCACGTAAATACGGGGGGCCTGGCGATTCAACCATGGGGGCACAGGGGAGCGCGCCTATGCGCGGTGGAGGTGGGGGGTATGGCGGCGTTGGTGGCAGCGGCAGCGGCGGTACAGGTGGCGGCAGTGCAGCAGCAGTGGCGGCGGCGGCGGCAGGCAGCAGCGGCACCAACAGGCTGCGCCCCTTTGAGGAGCCCACGCCCGCGGCTGCGCGCCCCAAGCCGCGCCACAGGCGCAGTGAGAGTGCGGGGCCGGGGTACTTCGTGGGCGGGGGAGGCATCTGGGGCGCCGTGGCGGGCGCGAGCATGGCGCCCCCTCTGGGCGCCAACGGCCCCCAGGCGCTGGCGCTCAACTTCCTGGCGGGCGCGCAGCAGAGCGACGCCGTGGTGAGCAGCGGGGGGGGCGCGCATGTCAGGGCCCACAGCGCGCAGGGGAAGGTGGGCGGAGGGGTTGGCGGGGCGGACGGTGGAGGGGGCGTGGCTGGGCGAATGGCGGGCAGCGGAGGGGGAAGAGACGGGCGGGATGGTGCAGGTGAGAGTGGTGGGGCAGGGGGCGTGGGCGTGGGGAGTGCGATGGCGAGCAGTATGGGCGTGGAGGCAGTGCGCGCAGGGCTGTCAGCCATCCGCACAGGGGGCCACGGCAGCAGCAAGCACATCAAGGTGGGTGCCTTCGCCAACCAGGGACCCGCCGCTGCTGCCACTAGTGCTGCGGCTGCCACTGCAGCAGCTGCGGCGGCGGCAGCTGCAGCAGTGGTGGGGCCGGATGGGTCGATCCCGCTGACGACGAATCTGAAGCTCAAGGTGCGTGGCGGCATGTCCATCAGCGTGCCGCACAGCAACACCGCCGTCAGCCCGCGCGTCTCCTCCTCTGCCGCTGCCGCTGCCTCGTCTGCCGCCGGCACGACGCCCCCGCACGGCGCGAGTCCGCGCAGCGGCATCAACTCGCCCTTCAACATGGCGAGTCCGCGCGAGGGGCTGAGCCCCCTGGCCAGCCCCATGGTGCCGCTGGACCCCGAGAAGCTGTGGGCGCTGCAGAACTTCCAGCGCTCCACGCCCGTCTCCACACCCACCGCCTCCCCGCGCCCCGGCTCCCTGTCCCCCCCGCCTGCCGCGCCCCCACGCACGCCCAACGTCAGCGACTACTACTACAGCGCCAAGTCCGGCGAGGCGGGCAGCCCGCGCGCGCAGGAGGAGGGCGAGGGCGAGGCGGAGGTGGAGGAGACGCCGGCGACGGCGAACGTGCTGATGAAGGGCGTGGTGGAGCTGAGCGAGCTGTACCGCCTCTCGCGCAAGGAGCTCGGCCGCGGCAACTTCGGCGTCATCCGCGTTTGTGAGAAGCGCGACACAGGCGAGAGGTTCGCGTGCAAGACCATTGAGAAGAAGAACCTCGAGGTGAGAGCAGAGGAGGGGGGGAGGAGGGCGGAGAGACGTGCTGCTAGGGAAGGGAACGGTGACGGGGGGCAGTGCTTTGAAATGGTTGAAAGGCGAAACACCGATGCTCTCGTGCACCCTTGCCCCATGGATCGTCCTTTCCATGCATCATGCTTCCATGCACCATGCTTCCATGCACCGTGCGCCCATGCACCGTGCGCCCATGCACCGTGCTTCCATGCATCATGCTTCCATGCATCATGCTTCCATGCATCATGCTTCCATGCTCCATGCGTCCATGCACCATGCTTCCATGCACCATGCTTCCATGCATCATGCTTCCATGCACCATGCTTCCATGCATCATGCTTCCATGCATCATGCTTCCATGCATCATGCTTCCATGCATCATGCGTCCATGCATCATGCTTCCATGCATCATGCTTCCATGCATCATGCTTCCATGCATCATGCTTCCATGCACTATGCTTCCATGCATCATGCTTCCATGCATCATGCTTCCATGCATCATGCTTCCATGCACCATGCTTCCATGCATCATGCTTCCATGCATCATGCTTCCATGCATCATGCTTCCACGCATCATGCTTCCATGCATCATGCTTCCATGCACCGTGCTTCCATGCACCATGCTTCCATGCACCATGCGTCCAATGCTGTGCGTCCGTGCACCGTGTGTGCATACATCCATGTGGCACGTCATATTTCTTGCCTGACTGGTTCTTTGGCTTGTCTGTGTGATTCTGGTTTTGCGCTGGTGCTCTTGTGCATGTGCTGCGTACTCCTGGTGCATATGTATGTGTGTGACTCGTGAGGGGGGTTGGGGCTTGGGATGGTGGTGTGGGTGCGTGCGTGCACGTGGAGGGTGCAGTGTTGGGAGGACGTGGATGATGTGCGGCGGGAGGTGCAGGTGATGGAGATGCTCAAGGACCACGCCAACGTCATCAAGCTCGTCGACACCGTCGAGTCGCAGAAGGTATCCCCAAATCCCATGCACCGCCAAATCCCATGCACCGCCTCACCCCGCCCCCTGCTGCTGCTCCCATGGCGTTTGCCCTTCCCGCCCTGCCCTTGGCCTGCCATGGCTGTGCGTTGTCGCCTTCCATGGCCCCTTGGGACTTGACAACCTCTCACCCCGAGACCTTAATTTTCAGGTTCCTCCTGCGATCTCCTTAAAGCCCAAAAAAAAAAGAAGAAAAAAGGGGGACCATTTTCGTACACACTCGAAATTGATTGGCTCCGCTTTCACATTCCCGTCACACTGTCCCGTATGCATGCCCACCGAGGGCCTTCCCTACACCGAATCCGCATCGGCAGGTTGGTCACGATGTTGTTCTCAGCCTGTGCACGGCATGTGTAATGAGTCGACTCAAAAAATCGACTCATTACACTCAGCCTTTCACAGCATTGCATCAGTTTCGAGGCTGTAAGAAAAGCTTTGGCTTCATCCTGATAGGACGGAAGTCTGCCATCTGGCAAATCTCGATCCCATTCGAGCCTTTTGGGTGCGGTTGACACTTTGCTCCCCCACCGTTGACTGTATTTTGAGTCGACTCAAAATGCACCTGGTTCCCGTGTCCTCTTGTGTTTCCCTGCAGCTCCCTTCCTCCGTCCTCTCGATTCTCTTCTTGCTTGCTGCACTCTGTACTTTCGTTTTGCTGCGGAACATTACGGGATACAGGAGAAAGGAAAAGGGCAGAGGTCTAAACCCACCTACACTAAAAAGGGGCGGGTCTACGTAGTCGATTACCCCAGATGAAGACCGACCTGCCAAAAAGACACAACGGTTTGTCAGTAGAGACGGACTTACATCTGGGCGCTTACAGTACTCTTCTCAACCCCCCCCCCCCCCCCCCAGCCCCCCCGCTGCCCCACTGCCCCCCTTGTTTTTCTCCCCTCTCTAACTCTGTTGTCCCCCCCCCCCTCCCTGATTTGCTGCTGTGGCGGTGTGTTGCGGTGCGTGGCAGGAGGTGCATCTGATAATGGAGCTGTGCGAGGGCGGCGAGCTGTTCGACCGCATCCAGGACAAGGGCTACTACAGCGAGCGCCAGGCCGCCAAGGTGACACGCACCGTGGTGGAGGTGCTGCAGCACTGCCACTCGCACGGCGTGCTGCACCGCGACCTCAAGCCCGAAAACATCCTGCTGACCAGCAAGCGCAGCGACACGCGCGTCAAAGTCATCGACTACGGCATGGCTTACATCTTCCAACCCGGTACCGTACTCCACCACCTCCCACCCCCCTCGCCACTGCTCCCTCCAAACTCCTCTTCCTCCCTCCCTCCTCCCACTCCGTCCCTCCCTCCCCATTCCCTCCTTCACTCTTGAGGTCTTTCACTCCCTCTTTCTCGTCCTCCACCTCACTGATTTTGCTGCCCTCACAGTCACACAGTCACACACACTCACACACAGTCCTGCACACAAGCACATCCACGCATTGTGGCACTCTTCCCCTCACCCCTCTAGCCAACGACTTGCATCCGATATTCCGTACCCTCCCTGCTTCTTCCCCCTGTGCCCCTTCTGCCCCCCTGTGCATGCAGGCGAGCGGTGCACGTTCCGCGCAGGCACGCCCAACTACATCGCGCCGGAGGTGATCAACAAGAACTACGGCGTGGAGGCGGACGTATGGAGCGCGGGGGTCATCCTCTACATCCTGCTGTGCGGCCTGCCGCCCTTCTGGGGCGACACCACGGAGGAGATCTTCAAGAGCGTGCTGTGGGGCCACCTCGACTTTGACACGGACCCCTGGCCACAGGTGTCGGATGCCGCCAAGGACCTCGTGCGCCGCATGCTGTGCAAGAACTACGCCAAGCGCATCACCGTTGAGGCCATCCTGCGTACGCCCCCTGCGCCCTCGCCTGCCGCCTCCCGCTTCCCCGTTGCCATGCATCCATCCCGTGTGGCTTGTCTCTCACACCGCCTCTCCATGGCCACGCGCAACCGCCCTTGCCACTCCAATCATGTGGCTTTGCCTCACCTCATGCTCTTCCACGCATCACCCGCTTTTTCTCCTCCCCCTTTCTCTTGATGCCCGCACCAGGTCACCCATGGATCGTTGCTTACACCACATGACATGACAGCACCAGCTCACAGTGCTTGCCTGCGCTTGTGTCGTGGCACTGGTGCAACTGCTCACATGAACATGGTCTCTGCGTCAACCATGCCTACCATGCCTACCAACTGCTCACTCCACCATGCTGACCATCTGTCTCTCACATTCCATAGCCGTTCCACTTGACGCCTCCGTTCCCGCACATCTGACTGCCTGCCTCTCAACTGTTTCTCCTTGCCTTCCATGCTGCGCTGCCCCGCTTCTCTGTCCACTGTTCATCCTGACCCCTATATAAATTCTAACCCCAACTGGCTGCGCTACCGTCCCTGCCCACATGGTTAGGCGCTGCCCTCTAAGCATCAGTAGCCTCTAACTGCCTGTGCCATTGCTTGCTACCAGCTGTCGCTCCACCTGCCTGCGCCATTTCGACTCCCAGGCGTCCGCTGCCACAAGGGGAGCCGCTGTAGGCTGTAGCGTGCGCACCTGGTGCAGCAGGCACAGCGGTGTGGTGGAGCATGACCACGTGCCGCTCTCCTTGATCAAACCTGGCGCGTGGCCTCTGCGCCCTTGCCCTTGCCGCTCTTGGCATTGTCCCCAGTCGCATCGTGACCTAACTGTGATGTTGCAGGGCTGCTGAGACAGCTGAGGTGAGGTTCGTTAGTGGGTATGGTATGGAGGTTCTTGCCCTCGTTCCATTCATAAAGAGGGAGGGGGCTTCTTTCTTGACAATGACTCTGAATGCTGATCTAGTTGCTGCTAACTGACTCGATGCATGCAACATGTGGATCCTCTTTAATATGTATGCTATCTGTTATGGCTATTTCATGCTGATACTCGCCTCACCACGATCGGTTAGATTTGAAGCAAAATCCTAGTCCGAAAGTAGTACAGTAGCCAAGCCTTGGTAATTCCAGTTCATGCAGCGAGTACACGTGTCCTTCCCTTCGCAGCGCGTACTCGCAACTGTCGTCACATGCGGTCCGATTTCTCGGATTTGTCCCAACCCCCAATGTCACACCCCTGCTGTGGATATTCAACCACCCCGTGCTGCCTGTGGTCACCGCAGCCACATTCACTGGAACTTGCTGTTATCGCGTTTCACCCAGCAACAAGACAATGCCGCCACTAACGGTACTGCCGATATTCCTAGACAGGCCCTTCCATCGATTTTGTTAGCACGATATTCTGCGCATTTTATGGGGCAGTGAGGGGCTGATGGCGAGTGAGCGTGTGCGTGTGCGTGGCAGGGACGGAACCTGCTCCTGGAGGAGCCCATTCGCCTCGCCTCCATCCTCGAGTCGTCCCTGCACCACGTAATGTCTCTCCCGCGTCTCGGAGCCGATTGAACACGAATATCTCCCCCTCCCTTCCCTGAACTCGTCTCCCTCGCCCCGCCCTGCCCTGTCGTGTCTTGTGCAGCGGGCGGCGGTGCCGTCGCTGACCAAGGTGGTGGGCACGGTGGGCGGCAGGAGCCGCAGCGTGGAGGCGCTCGAGGCGCTGCTGCGGGCGGGGATGACGGGTGAGCGGCGCAGGCGGGGGGCGCGACGGCAGCAGGTCGCTTATTGCCGTGATCCGCAGTGCGGGATGACGGTTGGCGCTCAACGTGACGCCCTCTTTAAATTTTCCTGTCCCCCCGCTCTCTCTCTCTCTCCCTCTTCCCTCCTGCACGTCTCCATGCTGCCCCCACGCCCCGTCCTCCGGCAGTGGCGCGCTTCGACTTCTCCCACGGGGGCGCGGACTACCAGCAGCACACGCTCGACAATCTGCGCGCCGCCATGCGCCGCACCAAGAAGCTCTGCGCCGTACGACGCGACGGCGCTCCCCGCCACACTCGCCGCATGCAATCATGCGCCGTAGCCAATGCTCTCGCGCGACCAGCACGGCTCACCCTGCCACTGCTCTCGCCTCGCTCTGCCTGTGTCCTTCGCCACCACGCCCCGCCGCGAGCTGGGAAATTCGAAAAATGTGTGCGCTTGGCTGTTGTCCCCTGGCTTGGCCCGTGATGGCATGGCGTGGTGGCATGGTGGCATGGTGGCATGGTGGCATGGTGGCATGGCATGGCGGCATGGCGGCATGGCGGCATGGTGGCATGTTGGGATGATGGCATGGGGGGCATGGTGGCATGGCGGCATGGCATGCGGGCAGGTGATGCTGGACACGGTGGGGGCGGAGTTGATGATAGCCAACCCTGGCGGTGCGCCCATCGCGCTCGCAGCGGGGCACGACATCACCCTCTCGCCGTCCTGCTGCACCGCCTCCGCCTCGTGCCTGCCCATCTCCTTCCATGGGCTTGCCCAGGTGCGCTGCTACCGCCTACGGGCAGCAGGTGGCGTGGCGGGGTGAGTAACCCATGCATCAGAGTGTGCGCACACAATAGCGCTTTCCCATCCATTCCTCCCATGCTCTGCCATGCCCTCCCATCATGCTCTGCCATGCCCTCCCATCATGCTCTGCCATGCCCTCCCATCATGCTCTGCCATGCCCTCCCATCATGCTCTGCCATGCTGTCCCATGGGGATACACCCTCGCCCCAGGCAGTGCGGGCGGGCGACGAGATATTCGTGGGGCAGTACCTGTTCACGGGCACGGAGACCACGTCCGTGTGGCTGCAGGTAAGCTGCCTGCCGCGCGTGGCGCACCATGCCATGTGCGCGTCCCATGTGTATGGATGTTCTACACGCTAATTACTCGGCATGGTGTGTGGCGCACCAACCACCACATGGGTGCATGGCATCAGGTGCAGGAGGCACGGGGCGCGGACGTGGTGTGCAGCATCCGCAACAGCACCACGCTCGCTGGACCCTTCTTCACTGCCCACGCTGCTAGGGTGAGTGAACACCACTTGGGTGCCATAGGTCTTTACGTGGCAGCAACTAGAAACGCTAGTACTTACTACTTTTAACAGCACCACGCTCGCTGGACCCTTCTTCAATGCCCACGCTGCCAGGGTGAGACCCGCTGCCATGGCATCATGGCATGCTGGCATGCTGGCATGCTGGCATGCTGGCATGCTGGCATGTTGGCATGTTGGCATGGTGGATGGTGGCATGGTGGCATGGTGGCATGGTGGCCTGTTGTATTGATTCTTGCACAGTTGATGCACCATGATGGTATGCTGCCGGCTCCCGGCCCCTTATGTGCCATGCATGGCATCCTCACATCTTCCCTCCACACCACCCATGCCCTCATTCCCCGCGCTCATGCATCGCCCCTCGTGGACTATCCCCCTCCCTCTTCTCTCCGCCCATACACTCCCCTCCCCCCCCCTCCCCTGCCCTCCCCCCCCTCCTCCCCCCCGGCACCAGGTGCGCATTGACATCCCAACGCTGACGGCGATGGACCGGCAGCACATAGCGACGTGGGGGCGGCGCAACAACGTGGACATCATCTCGCTCTCCTTCACACGCCACCCGGACGATGTCGCACAGGTGCCCCTGCTCTGCGCGGGTGGGCATCGCTCCATGCCCCATGCCCCGTGCCCCATGCCCCATGCCCCATGCCCCATGCCCCATGCCCCATGCCACATGCCCCATGTCACATGCCACATGCCCTGTGCCCCATGCCCCATGCCCCATTCTCCGTGCCCCATGGGCCCCTGCCCATGCCCTGTGGGCGTGCATGCAGGCGAGGGCGCTGCTGAGGTCGCTGGGCGACCTGGAGCAGACTCAAATCTACGCCAAGATCGAGAACATGCAGGTGCGCCACTCGCTCCCTCCTCCTCACCGCCCTGCACTCGCCCATCACAATGCTTGCCCTCACAGCACCTCCTTCCCCCCCACTCCCCCACACTCCCCCCCCCCTCCCTCCCCCCTGTCCCCGTGGGCAGGGGCTGCAGCACGTGGAGGGCATCCTGGAGGCAGCGGACGGCATCATATTGTCGCGCGGCAACCTGGGCATCGACTTGCCGCCCGAGAAGGTGTTCGGCGTGCAGAAGCGCGCGCTGGCCCTGTGCAACCTGGCGGGCAAGCCCGCCGTCATCACGCGCGTCGTCGACTCCATGGTGGACGCCCCTCGCCCCACCCGCGCCGAGGCCACCGACGTTGCCAACGCCGTGCTCGACGGTGCGGCGGCACGGGCGCTGGGAAGGAGCAGGGGGGGGGAGAATGGGTGTATGCTGGAGTGGGGATGAGTGGGGCTGGGTGCAAGCACACGCTGCAATGGGGATGAATGGGGCTGGGCTGGACTGGGCTGGGGATGAGTGGGGCTGGGTGCAGTGGGGATGAGTAGGGCTTAGTGGGTGCTGTGCGTGTGAATTGCAGAGTCAGACTCTTCGTCAGCTATGACAGCACATATTCGCTTTCTCATGCACGCCGCTCTCTCTTCCCACCTCTGCTCCCCCTTCCTGCGTGCCCATCCGGCCCGGGCGCCACCCGGCAGCAGGGGCGGATGCACTGCTGCTGGGAGCGGAGACACTGAGAGGGCTGTACCCGGCCGCCACAGTGGAAACAGTGGGCCACATCTGCGCGCAGGTGAGCCCGCTGCCTGCTGCCACTGCACACACACACGACCAGTGCCGCACTGCCACGGGCACCAAGCAAGCGCACTCGCGATGTGGTGCGAGGCGTAGTGAATACAGCAGCAGGAGCATTACAGCCACGCCCGTCTCTGTGCCCACCCCCCCTCTCCTTGCTGCATGGTGGGCGTGGCATGAGATGGCATGGCATGGCATGGCAGGCGGAGCGCGTGTTCAACCATGCAGCGTACTTCAAGAGCACCCTCAAGGCCGTGCCCGACCCCATGTCGCACCTTGAAACCATCTGCGCCTCCGCTGTACAGCCCCATGCACACCACACGCCAACGCATGCCACCGCATGCCACCGCATGCCACCACATAGCTCACCCATCATCACATGTGCTCCTTATCCCTCCCTCGCACCCTCGCAGCCATGCCCTTCCCAACTCTGCCCTCGCACGTCATTCTTTCCCTCCTCTATGCCCCAAGCCTCAACCCCCACCGCTGCTGCCTCCCTTCCCCCCCTCCCCGCCCCCCGGATGCCCCCCTGGCGGGTCAGGTGCGCACAGCGGAGAAGGTGCGCGCTGCTGCGCTTGTCGTCTTCACGTCCTCCGGCCACACTGCCAGGTGCCGCTACCATGTGCCCTGGCGCTCGCTCTTGCCAGGGTTAGCACAGTGGATGGACAGCAGGCAGAGCAGCATGCTGTGCGTCCATGCACGTTGTGCCGTGTGCCATGCACGGCACCCCGCATGCCATGCCAGAAAGTCAACACGAAAGTCACAATTCTTGCCTAACCCATCCCAACTCGCCCTCAAACCCCCCCCCCCCCCGCCGTCCCGTCCCCCCCAGCAGGCTGGTGTGCAAGTACAAGCCGTCCATGCCTGTGCTGGCGCTCATGGTGCCGCGTGTCTCCACCAACCAGCTCTCCTGGCACCTCGTTGGGCCCTTCCAGGTGCGCTCTCGTGGGGGGGAGAGCGGAGGGCACGACCTGGCAGTGGGATGGTAGCATCGGTGTGCTTGGGCTTGCTGAGGACTTGTATGCACAACCATCCTCCCCTCTCCCCATGCTCCTCATCCCCTTCTCCCACGTAGCTCTATTGCTGTATTCAGCACGCCACCCCAGTCCCACAACCCGCCCTTTCTCCCCTGCTGCCCCTGCTGCCCCTGCCGCCCCTGCTGCCCCTGCCGCCCCTGCCGCTCCTGCCACCCCTGCCGCCCCTGCCATGGCATCAGGCACACCAGTGCCTGGCAGTGCGCGGACTCTTCCCCATCCTCGCCGATGTCATGAGCAGAGGGGGATCGGTGAGGCGAGGGGAGGTCCATGAGATGAGAGAGGGGGTGGAATGCGGTGGTGAGGTGGGGGGAGGGAAGCATGTGCGTGAGCCTGGGGATAAAATAGGATGTGTGGACAGCCCACGCGCCATACCGGTACAATTATGCACCCATGCACGATGCACCAATGTGGCATGAACCCGTATGTGCCATGTGCCATAGAACCATGCACAATGCACCTATATGCCATGAACCGATGCGTCCATGCACCTATATGCCATGAACCGATGCGTCCATGCACCATGCGCCATGCCCCATGGCAGGCGGGCAGCAGCACATGGGCGCCGGAGGAGGCGCTGCTGCAGCTGGCATTGGAGCGGGGGCAGGCCATGGGAGTGGTGCGGGCGCGCGACCGAGTGATCGTGGTGCAGAAGTTACGGGATGCCTTCGCTGTGCGCATTGTGGAGGCCTTCACTTGATGCATGCATGCCTGCTGCCCCCTTGCGGGCTTCCTTCACAGGGTTTAAGGTTTAGGCTCCGGCATACATGCTTCGATAAATACACTGCAGAAAGTTGGTTCCTTTTACAATTAGTGGCTGGTAGGTGTTGTACGTGCTGCTCCGTGTGCTAGCCAAAGGCACCACATGATTGCTACCGTACTTGAGTCCATGAATGAAGTGATCTGCGCACTGCACAACGCAAGTCAGTAGCCCGACAGAAGTGTGTAGCCCATAGCACCTCGGAATGTGCAGGCTGATGTGCATTTATCGTGAACCCCTGACTCTGATGAATGCGGTATTCATCCAGGCAGCATCACAGTTGCCCCCCTAACCCTATCTAAAGTTTTAAGCGTAATTCCCTCACTACCCTCTGCCCCTTGTCCCACTGCCGCTGCCATGGCTGCCAGCAACAGCAGCAGCGGGCGTCCTGAGCGGCGCTCTGAACCCGCTCATGGCTTTCAGCCCTGCCCTGCGCCCCATGGACCCACCGTACATGCCCGCCCCTGCTGGCCCCCCTGTGCCAAACGTCAAGGCCTTGGGCCGCAGCACTGATGCGGGCGTTGCCATGGCGCCTGGTCCACCACCAACTGGCCCCTCCACCCTCCCCACCTCTTCTGCCCCCGCTGCTGGCCCCACCTCCTGCTTCTTCTCCTGCCCCGCCTCACGCTGCCCCCCCTGCTGCTGCGCCCCTCCCCTGCTTCCGCCTGCTCCCCCACTCCCAGGCGTGCCTCTGGCCCCTGGCCTGGACCCGCTGCCACGCGACACGCTGCCATGCGCCAGCAGCATCTGGGCGTGCGCCTGCGCCATAGTGCCCGCCCGCCCCGCAGTGCCCAGGTTGAACGGCCGCGGGGTGCGCCGCGCACCAGCAGCGGCTGTCGTGCCCTTGCTCCACGTGGCGGGCCGTGGCTTGCGCTGCAGTGCTGGCCTCACTGCCTCGCCTGCCACGCACTCCACTGCTCCTCCCTCCTTCGCTCCTTCCTCTGCTGCCCCTCCCTGCTCACCCCCTCCTGCTCCTCTTTCCAACACCACACCAACTGTCACCCTTGCCCCGCTGTCACTACCCACCACACCACTACCACCCTCGCCGCTTCCCCCCTCCTCCCTCACAACGTCCTTCGCCTTTGCCTGTTCCCGCCCCTCTGCCTCACCTCTGCTGCCACTCACCCCTGCATGGGCAGGGGGGCTAGCAGCAGCAATGGCAGCAACAGCAGCCGCCGCCGCCCGCTGCCTGAAGCTGCCACCACTGCCACTCAACGCCCTGCCTGCTGCCCCCCTGTCCTGCTCGTGCACCCTGTTTGCCGTGCCTGCTGCTCCACCGTGGGTGTGGCCCTGCCCACTCCTCTCTGCACTCCTTCTATGGCCTGCACCACATGCATGCCCTGGCGCCCGCACACCCGCAGCACCACCATCACCTGCTGGTTCCCTGTCTGCTGCGCCTGCTGCTGCCCCTCCTCTCGCTGTTGCTGCTTCCACGTGTCGCTGTGACGCCATTTGCGCCCTGCCCCTCCCCATCTCACCCGCCCCCCCTGCCCCCTCGCCTGATGCGCTGCCCTTGGCACCATTGCCTGCCGGCCTGCCCACTGCAGCAGCGCTGGGAGCAGCAGGCGGTGTGGCACGCAGGGCAGGTGTGCCGGGCTTCCTGGCAGTGCCAGCGGGTGGGGCGGGCAGCACACTGGACGGCGCAGCAGCAGCAGCAGCAGCAGCAGCAGCAGTGGCGGGGGCTCGGGGCTTTCTGCCTGTGAAGGTGGGTGGATGCCTGTCGCCCATCATGGGCCCTCTGCCTGCTACCACCCTCACTGTCGCCCCTGCACCTCCTGCTGCGCCTGTACCGGCACCCCCTCCCTTCCCCACTGCATTCACATTCACGTTCTCCTTGCCGCCTGCAGTGGCAGCAGCAGCAGGGGCGATGGAGTTGAGCAGCGGATTGTCACAACTATCCAGCACAGGCGCCGCCACACTCTCTCTCACGTGGAATCTCACTGCCTCTCGCTGCACCGCCCCTTGGCCGCCCACCTTCCACTTGCTGCTGTCCCAGCTTCCGTCCCTGCTCTCCCCGATGCTCCCGTCCAGGCTGCCATAGCTCCCTCGCCCCCTTCCCTGCACCACGTTCACACACCGCTCCCCCAGGGGTTGCGGCGCCCCATGCCCACTAGCACTGCTGCCATTCGCTCTGCTCCCTCCCATGCTACCTGTCTCCCCTTGCTCTGCTGCTGCGCCACCACTGGCCTCCTCCCAGTTCTCCTGGCCAATCCCTGCCGCTGTGGCAGCAGGGGGGGCTGCGCCCGACGAGGGGTGGTCAGAAAGCACAGCGGAGGGCCGGCGGTAGTGCTGGGGGCGCTGAGCGGTCTTCAGGCCGTCTGACCCTGGCCGTGCTGCTGCCGCCTCTGCTGCTGCTGCTGGCGTGGCTACCTTGGGTGCTGCTCTTGTTGGTGCTGCAGCTACAGCTGCTGCTGCTAGTGTGGGTGCGGGTGTTGGTGCACAGGGCAACTTGTGCGGTGCAGCGTGAGGAGCAGCACACTGAAGAGGCTGAGAGGTCGTCCTGCTGCCACCGCTGGCGCTGTTGGTGGCAGCAGCAGTAGCAGCAGCATGGTTGGGGGATGGTGGGCGGTACTGTTTGGATGGCTCCACATGGCCATGCACCTGCACCCCGGCAGCACCAGCACCTGCTGCTCTTGTTTCTCCCACCATGGCCGCTGCCTGTGCTGCATGCACGTGCGCATGGGGTGGCACAGGAGGCGCGGCATGGGGCTGGGCGTGCGGGCCTGAAGCAGCGGGAGCGTTCGTGGCAGCGAGTGGTGGCGGGGGGTCCTTGAGCGGCGCGACGTGGCGGCTGACCTCCTTCTGCACCACGTCCAGCACCACCACGCCGAACAGTTCTACCCACCGCCTGCTCCAGCCAGGGAGGACGGGGAGAGAGAGGAAGGGGAAAGAGAGTGGGGAGTGAGGGGCTGGGTAGAGGTGGCATCATGTAGTGAAGGGAAGCATGAAGGCAGGGCGTGTGTGTGTGTGTGTGTGTGTGGCCAGTGGCACAAGCCAGCAGGCCCGCCCATGGTGCATGCCAGCAGGCAAGCCCATGGCGTATGTCAGCAGGCAAGCCCATGGTCCATGGCAGCAAAGCATGTATGAAGAAGATGGCAGAGGGTGCATGCAGCATGGGGTGCGGTGGGCGACTCACTGTGGGAAGAACTTGAGGAGCTCCGCCCTGTCGGCGGGCATGCGCAGGGCCACGGCCGTCATCTCATCGTCGCTGCACACCACACAGGGGAGGGGGTAGCAGCGGGCGGAGAGGGTGAGATGTGCGTGCCTTGGGGCGGGCCATGGCGCCATGCAGCTACTGTGCCATGATCGCATGATCACGAGGGGCATGAGAGCATGGGCGCATGGTGGTGGAAGGAACGTGATGGTGGCGTGGCAGCATGCATGGCGACGTACGAGAGTATCTGTGAGGGGTGCAGCTTCGGGTGCGCGGCGCAGAGGTGAGCGCGCATGGCAGCCAGTGATGCTCGGATGTTGGTCACTAGCACCTGCTCATGGGGCAGGGGGGGGGGCGTAAGACAAGGAAAAGAGAGGGAGACGAGCCAGAGGGCTGGTGTGAGGAGCATGCATGTGGATGCAGTGGCGTGTGTGCGGCATCGGCGTGCTTGGTGAGGGCCATGTGTGTGTGTGGGGGGGGGGAGGTGGGGGTGTGTGGAGTGTGACCTTGTCGATGGCAGCGACGCCTGAGGCGGCCACCCATCCGCTGAGTTTCTTCTTCAGCTCCATGGCGTCCACGCTGCGCCGGTTCTCCCCCTCCACCACCACCACTTCCCCCCCACCCCCTCCGCTCCCTCTGCTCCCACTGCCTGCGCTGCCGCCCCCACCCCTGCTCCCGCTGCCACTGCCACCCCTGCTGTTGCTGCTTTCACTCACTCCCGCCCTCCTCTCCCGCGCTCTCTGTGCGCTGCCCGCGCTCTCGCTCGCACTGCTGCTGCTCTCACTCGTGCTGCTGCTCCTCTGAACTCCTCGCCTCGCCCCTCCTGCACTGCCTCTTCCGCCATCCCTTCCCCGTCCCCCCATGCCCCCTCTCCCTCCCGCCCTCGACTCCCCCCTGCCCGCCATCCCCATCACGGCAGACAGCGCAGGGGACATGCCCACTGCCGCTGCTGCCGCCGCTGCTTCGCCGCCCACACCCCCCTCCTCGTGCGCTCCGCTCACCACACTCGCCAGTAACATTGCCCCTGCTGCTGCGCCGCTCGCATCACCTCCCCGCTTCCCCCATCCGCGCAGCGCCCGCGGAGTGACCTCTTCCCGCGCCTTCCGCCCACTTGCCCTGCCGCGCACCTTGCCCGCGGGCACGTTCACCGACCACGCTGCTCCTGGCGTCGCCTCGCCCCGCTCCTCCTCCCCTTCCTCCTCCTCGTCCTCCTCCTCGTCCTCCTCCTCTTCCTCCTCCTCATTCTCCTCGTCCTCGCCATTTTCTTCGTCGCCTCGCACCTGCAGCACGCGCGATCGTCGCTCCCCGCCGCGCCAGAACGACACGTCGTCGTCGTCGTCGTCGTTGCCTATCGCCATCGCCATGCTGCTCGACCGCGCAGACCGTCGCATGCCCGCGCGACTGCGCCTGCTGGGGTCGCGCGACCGCCTTCCCCCGCCTTCGCGCGATGCTTTGAGCCCCTCGATCTGCAGCTTGCGCGGCGGCATCAGCAGGCCCCCAGCCGCCGCTGCGCGGCTGCGTCTGCCCTTCCCGCGAGTCATGGTGCGCGCAAAGCTGGGCAGGCGCGCGGCGGTCGCGAGCGGAGTGAGGTCCACCTTCGCCACGGCTGCCGCCGCCGCTGCGCCCAGGTCACGCGCGGAGATCTTCCGCATGATGCCGCGGAAAATGGTTCCCCCAGTGCGCGGCTCCCCCACGCGCCGGTTGCCTCCCTTGCGAAAGCCCGTCCGCGTGCCCTCCGCCATGGCCGTCGCTGGTTCCGGCTCCTGCGCGATTGTCCCGGCGGGAGGCTTACGCTCGCGTGCCGGTTCTCCTCCCGCCGCGCACCAGTCGCTGCCCTCCCCGCCGGACCTCCTCTCCTCCACGCGCGACAGCCGCCCGCTCGGCCCGCCAGCCACGCCTCCCTCGTCCGCGCGCTTCTGACCCCACGGGTACGGCGGGGGCGCGGGGCGTTTCCCCGGGGAAGCGCTATCGAGGTCGGCGGGCAGGGGGATGCCGCCTGGCCGCCTGAAGCTGAAGGCTCGCGGCGCTGCCATGGGGGCGGGTGCGGGCGCACCGTCACCCGCTGGCGCCTTTCCCCCATCACCCCTCGCCCCGGCGTCGTCGTCGTTCTCCGTTGCGCTTTCCTCCATCATCTCCCCTGCTGCCTCCGCGTCCCCCCCGCCCCCTCTCGGCTCCGCGTCCCAGCGCCTGAGAGCCTGCACCACTCCGCGCGCTGCCTGGCGGTGGAAGCGGCCCGCGGCGAAGAGGTCGACGCGCGCGGAGCCGCCTTCCGACACGGGGTTCTCGCCCTCGGACAGCGCGCTCGCAATCCACGGGGTGGGCGTTCTGGCTGTCCGCACCGTGTTCACTGTGTTGACTGTGTTGACCGTGTTCACCGTGTTGACTGTGTCGGGCGCGTCGAGCGCGTCGCGTGTGGGTAATTGGTGCGTGTGGCGTGCGCCCGCCTCGTGACTGCTCACCCCGTGACGGTTATAGTCGTCATCAGCCAAGGCGGACGACAGCGCAACACTGCTCGACCGCGCGGCAGTGCTGCTGCCGCTCCTGCTACTACTGCTACTACTGTCGCCGCGCCCCTCACTCCGCCTGTCGTCGTCGCTTCCTTCCCACCCTCCCGCCGGCTCCCTCCGCGCCCCTTCACCCGCCTCCGCACCGCTCGAGAAGTGCCCGCCGACCCGCCTCTCCTGTTCGCCGTTCTCCTCCCCCCTGTCCTCCGTGTCCCACTGCTCTGCATGCTCCCGCCTCTCTCCGCGCACTTCCGCTCGAAAGTCTCCCCGCTCCACCACCCCCCCGTCCACATGCGCGCGCGCGGCGGGATCTCTGTGGTGAGCCCGCGCGCCTTGCACGCTTTGGGCAGTCGCCTCGCTCCCCGTGCTGCCGCACTCCTTCGTCGCTCCCACCCCCCTCGTCCCCGCCCCTCCACCTCTGCTTCCGCCCCCTTCGCCGCCCTGCACAGTCTCCCCCGTGCGCTCTCCTTGCCTTGCGCCCCACGCCATCGCGCCTCTGTCCGCCCCGCCGACTTCCTCCTCCGCCACCACCTCCTCCACTACCACCACCTCCTCCACCCACGCCATTTCTTCCGCGCCCGCGCCGTTCCCCCCTTGCACCGCTCCTTTCCCCTCTTGCACTGCGCCTTTCCCCCCTAGCACCGCGCCGTTCCCCCCTTGCACTGCGCCGTTCCCCCCTTGCACTGCGCCTTTCCCCCCTTGCACTGCGCCTTTCTCCGCACGACCCGACCACATGCGCCACCCGGCTGCCAGCATGGCCTGCAGCGGCGTCTGCTCCGCGGCGGGCGGAGCGACCGCGCCCGTCGCCATGGGTCGGCGGAACTTGTGCACCACTGCAGCTGTTGCGCGCTTTCTTCCGGCCTCCGCCTGCGGGTGGACACGTGGGTCCGCAGGCGTGGGCGCGGCTCTTGATCCCGCATGCTTTTCCCGCTTGTCTCTTCCTACTGCGTGCGCGGCCACACCCGCGTCGCCACCCTGTGCCGCTCTTCCAATCTCGCGGTCGCGCGCCGCTCCCCATGAGTCGCCAAAGCCACCAGAGCCCAGTCCCCACGCGTCGTCCGCCAAGCTCTGGGGAGCGCCATACACCTTGCGCGGGGCCCCGCCAGTCACTCCTTCCCCTCCACCGCGCCTTGACTCTCTCACTTCAACTACGCCTGCTCCATCCGCTGCCGCAGCAGAGGCGGTGGGTGGGGGCGGAGGAGGCGGAACAGTGGGAGCAGGGGCGCGGGGGGAATCGGCGCGCGGTCGGGCGAAGTTAGTGGCGCCTGGTGTGAGGTCGGCGTCTGTCGCTACCGCCACGTACTCCTGCTCCGCGTCACCCGCCTGCCCCTGCTCGCCCTCCCGCTGACGCTCTCCCTGCTCTGCCCCCTGCTGCTCCCCTTGCCCCTCCTGGCGCTGCTCCGGGTGTTGCTGCTGCTGCTGTGGCGGCGGCCGCCTTGGAGGTCCGGTGAGCGGAGGGGCATGTCTAGCGGGAACCCCGTGATCGGCCCGCTCAGCGACTGGCGTCGGGCTCTCGCTTCCATGCCGCCCATTCCCTGCGTACTCCCGCTGCCTATCCGCTTCCGTTTCCGCCCCCTGCCATTCATCCTCCCGCTCCCGCTCGCCGCCATGCGCCCCTTCCGCGTCCCCCAGCCCCTCTCTCGCCGCCTCGTCGAACTGCTGCTGCAGAGCGGGTTTGGGGTTCTCTCGCGTCCCGCGGCTCCCTGACCCTTGGCTGCTGCCAGCGTCCTCCCAGCTGCCCTTGCCGCTCCCGCTGCCGGCGGTCCAGCCGCTGCTCTGCCTGCGGGGCTTCCGGAAAGGACCTTTGCTTCGGCTCCTGCGTGCGAGCCCGCCCTTAGAGCCGGCGCTGCGGCGGAGAGAATCGCGGAGAGCGGAAGGAGGAGGCCCGGACGGCGGAGAGGCGTGAAGGGAGAGGCGGCTGTGGCGGAGGACGGAGGGCGCGTTGGGGCCGGCGGAGCCCAGGTAGAAATCCGTGTCGTCAATGTCGGCGCCCTGCGCCGCCAGGTGGTGGATCAGCGCCAGCTTGGCCGCGTGGTAGTCGTCCGCCGAGATGCAGTGCGACTCGAACAGGTCCTGCGGGCGGGCGGGGCGGGAAGGCGGAAGAGCATTGGCGGGGAGTGACGTCCGGTTGGCGCAAAAGGCGAGGCAGGAGGTGAAAGAACAAGGCGATAGGCGAGAGCCATGGAACGAGAAGCAGGGCGCGAGAGAGCGAGAGAGAGAGAGAGCGAGAGAGCGAGAGAGCGGCGACGGCGGGCACCTGAACGAAGACGAGGTTGCTTCGTGTGAGCGGCGGCCATCGGTCGTGCGCGGTGCTGGCGAGCACGTGGCCCAGCAGGTCGCGCGTGAAGGCGGCGTACTGGTGGCGCGGCAGCAGCCCCTCGTCCACCATGCCGCGCATGAGCAGCGCCGAGTGGAACTGCGCCTGCTGGTGCTTTATCAGCCGCGCTAACTCCTTGTTCTGCGCGCACGCACGGGGGACACATGGACACGTCGCCGCAACGGTACTGAGCGGATCAGGCGGGGAAGGTGACAAACAGGAAGCTCGAGGGGAATCGAGCTGGTAAAAATCTACTAAGACGAGGAGACCGGGTATGAGGTTAAGATGATCCGTGGGCGACATGTGCGGGTTGGGGAGTGAATCGTAAACAGGGAGCCGAAGCCGAACGAGGTAGAGCAGTCATGAGGCACGCCATCGCAATCAGTGCTTCTGTCACTGCTGCGATCACTATAGCTTCCTTGGCGTAAAGCCCTTCGTTTGTTACAACGTCGCCTCCAATAAGTTGTGGTCTTATACCCATCTACTCCGGGCCGTGTCCCCCCCAGTCTCGTTGCACTTCCCTGTCTAGGCGAGAGGATGAGGGAGGGACTGTGATCAACGGGGCGCACCTTCTTGCCAGCCGGAGAAAGGCTGTTGGCGCGGACGAAACATTTCCGCAACCGGTAAAACCGCAATCGGAAGCGACCCATGACTGAATCCTATCTATGTATGTTCAATGAGGGAAAAGTCTGAATGCTGCAAAAGACGGTGTTGAATCTTTTAGCATCACGATCGCCATTAGCTGGCAAGCGGGGTAGGCGTCTACTTTATCAACACCTAATCAGTAAACCGCGAATGGTGGCAACAACCAAGGTAGAGGTGGTACTGATGGACGCGCAGTGAAGAAGGGCAACAGCAGATGGTGAAGGGAAGGTTAGACAAGGAGCAAAAGGCAAGTAGTTGTCTTGAATTGCAAGTTGCGCTGGGCAGAGGAATGGAGAGGAGAGGTGAGGGGAGGAGGGGATGGCAGCAGCACGCTGCTACACCGATTGCTGAACAGAACAGACTTCTCTCACCGCTGTTGGCGCGAATCGCGCCCGCAGAGAGTCAAACTCCAGATGAGCATTGGGCAGGCAGGACCACTCCCACAGAGACAGCACTGAACTTAACGAGTCGCAGTTTCAAAATTTGGCGCCAGGATTGTGTGCAGCCAATCAGAATCGATGAGGGTGTCAACTCTGACGCGTGTACCACAACCAGAATTGTACGCGAAAAGACCCACCACAATATGACATTCACAGCGCTATGAGTGTCACGCAATCTGCTCATTGACATATGGGGAAATCCTCCTATTCTGAAATGACATGAATCACCTTTTGTATATAATTACTACAATGATTCTATGATCGTTCCTTATTTTTACATATAACTAAAACACCCATATGTTGACAAAAAAAATATCGTACTTGCATACACACAACATGCACGGCAGCATCCATCAATACTGGGTTAAGTCTAAAGAACGAGCAAGGCTCTGAAAATTACATGCTCTTCTTTAAAAATAGCAAGCCATCTAGGAAATTTCTGTGACATATGAGTATGTCATATGTGTAAGAATTTGAAAAACGGGTACAGAAGACTAAGTATAGAATATGTCAACACAAGTACTTCAAGTAAAAAGTAATACTAGTATAAGTACCTCTAGTAACAACCAGTATTAACAAATTATAACCACTAGAATCTGTATTACAGTCTTGTGATACTTCAAGACTTAACAAATGATCTTTGCTGGAATGGTAGACTAGTAAGACAACGGTGTTAAATTATGTATGTTAGTATATAATTGTAGGCTTAGTAGGCTTACTGAACTTTACTGTACAAGGTACAACACCCCTCCTTGTATCCCTCTCTCTTCTATTCTGATACTCTTTTCTCTCATCAACTTTCATAGCACCTAAAACCTCTCGCCATTTCCATGGCTCCTCCTAGCTCCTAGCTAAACCTCATGCCATTTTATGGCTTCCTAGCTAAGCTAGTCTTGTGACATGCTATCAGAGCAAGAGGTCCTCTCTGCTGGACCGCCTTCTCACACTTCCGCCGCGTACTCCTCACCCTCGTTCGCTCGCGCGGCCATGGAGGCCGCGTTTTGCTAGAGTGGCGGCGTCATGATGCCGCTGGCCACGTCGTGCCGCGGCCGTCTCGACGCACTGCCGTGGTGTCGGGCCGTCGTGCTGCCGTCGCAGCGTCGACGTCCCGCCGCGGCGTCGACGCCGCTCTGTGACGGCGTCGTCAGGCTGCAGCCGGCCGCGCGACGCCTGTGGCGCCGCTGGACCGGCCGCCCGCATGCCAGCCTGTGCCCCCCCCCCCCCCCTTCCCCCTTTTCCTCTTCCTTTCCGCAGACGACGGCTGACTCCCGCCGGCCGTCCCACCGTCGCGGGGCCTGGCTACGTCACCGAGAGGTGCGGGCGCCGCCGCCGCCGCCGCTTGCGTCGGGGCCACGCAGCCGCACGCCGCCGCCGCCACCACTGTCGACACTGCCGCCGTCGCCGGCGCAGTCCCTGCGGTCGACAACGCCGCCTCACGCGCCAAGGGGTCGACCGAGCTAGTGTCGCTGACACTGTGGCTGGAATGGGGGTGCTAGGTTAGGGGGTGCTAGGTTAGGGGGTGTGGGTGTGTGTGGGCTTGTGTCTACCAAGCCTAGGGGGTGTGTTAAATGATATATGTTAGTATATAATGTCAAACATGTGTATTTGTCATGTTTGTATAGACTCTATAGAGTCACCTCTTAGAGGATACAAAACTTAGATATATTTGTGTGTACTCTCACTTTACCATTATTCAATTATTCTGATATGGTATCACGCGTAGGTAGGATCCCCCCCCCCCCACCTACCGCTTCCGCTCATGCCCCCTAGCGCCCCTCCTGGGCCCCGTCGCGCTCCTCCCAGGCCCCGTCGCGCTCCTCCCAGGCCCCCTAGCGCCCCTCCTGGGCCCCATCGCGCTCCTCCCAGGCCCCGTAGCGCCCCTCCTGGGCTTCGTAGCGCCCCTGCCAGGCCCCGTCGCGCCCCTCCTGGCTTCGTAGCGCCCCTGCCAGGCCCCGTCGCGCCCCTCCCAGGCCCCGTCGCGCTCCTCCCAGGCCCACTAGCGCCCCTCCTGGGCCCCGTCGCGCTCCTCCCAGGTCCCGTAGCGCCCCGTCGCGCCCCTCCTGGGCCCCGTAGCGCCCCTCCTGGGCCTCGTCGCGCCCCTCCTGGGCTTCGTAGCGCCCCTCCTGGGCCCTGTACCGCCCTCCCAGGCCCCGTCGCGCCCCTCCCAGGCCCCGTCGCGCCCCTCCCAGTCCCTCTAGCGCCCCTCCTGGGCCCCGTCGCGCTCCTCCCAGGCCCCGTAGCGCCCCGTCGCGCCCCTCCTGGGCCCCGTAGCGCCCCTCCTGGGCCCCGTAGCGCCCCTCCTGGGCCTCGTCGCGCCCCTCCTGGGCTTCGTAGCGCCCCTCCTGGGCCCTGTAACGCCCTCCCAGGCCCCGTCGCGCCCCTCCCAGGCCCCGTCGCGCTCCTCCCAGGCCCCCTAGCGCCCCTCCTGGGCCCCGTCGCGCTCCTCCCAGGCCTCGTAGCGCCCCTCCTGGGCTCTTTCGCGCCCCTCCTGGGCTCCGTAGCGCCCCTCCTGGGCCCCGTCGCGCCCCTCCTGGGCCCCGTAGCGCCCCTCCTGGGCCCCGTCGCGCCCTCCTTGGGCCCTGTAGCGCCCCTCCTGGGCCCCGTCGCGCCCCTCCCAGGCCCCGTCGCGCCCCTCCCAGGCCCCGTAGCGCCCCTCCTGGGCCTCGTCGCGCCCCTCCTGGGCTTCGTAGCGCCTCTCCTGGGCCCCCCGTCGTGCCCCTCCTGGGCCCCGTAGCGCCCCTCCTCGGCCGCGTCGTACCCGTCGCCGCCGCCCGGCCCTGTCGTGCCCGCCCGGCGCCGTCGCGCCCGCCCGACCCCGTCTCCGCCGCCCGGCCCCGTCGCGCCCGCCCGGCGCCGTCGCCGCCGCCCGGCCCCGTCGCGCCCGCCCGGCGCCGTCGCACCCTGCCCGGCCCGTCGCGCTCGCCCGGCCCCGTCGCAGCCGCCCGGCCCCGTCGCACCCGCCCGGCCCCGTCGCACCCTGCCCGGCCCCGTCACAGCCGCCCGGCCCCGTCGCACCAGCCCGGCCGCCGTCCTGCTCGCCCGGCCCCGTCGCACCGGCCCGGCCCTGCCGCACTCGCCCGGCCCCGTCGCCCCAGCCCGGCCCCGTCGCGCCCGCTCGGCCCCGTCGCCCCGTCCCGGCCCTGTCGCATCAGCCCGGCCCCGTCGCGCCCGCCCGGCCCCGTCGGGCCAGCCCCGGCCCCGTCCTCCTCACTGGTACGGTTCCCCCCCCCCCACCCCGCCCTTCTCCGTGCCGCCCTGCACCGCACTGTACCGCACTGCACCGCACTGTACCGCACAGTACCGCACTGCACCGCACTGCACCACACTGTATCGCACTGGACCGCACCCCACCTAGCTGCACCGCCCTGCACAGCACTGGACTGTTCCTGATGGCGGCGGAGCTTCGCTTCGACGCTGAAGGTCAGCCCCTAGAGTTCGAGGCGTGGCTTGCCGACCTCCGCCGCCAACTCACTGGCCAGCGGCAGGATGGTGAACCGCTTTCCGCACACCTTGACGGTACGCTCCCCTGCCCAGACCCTCCTGCTATTCTGCCCGCTGACCCCACACCCACTGAGCGTGAGTCTACTGCTGCCACTGCCCGTGCGCGCTCTGTCTGGCTTTCTCGCGATGCTGTCGCCCAGCTTGCCATTAGCAACGCCCTCCCCCCGTCCGAGCGTCCTCGCTTTAGGTCCCTCACTACTGCTCAGGCATACTTAGATGCTGTCATCAAGCGCTATTCCACCCCTCCGGCTGCCTCGGTGGGTCGCCTGATCCTCCCGCTGCTCTTTCCTGACCTTGCTTCGTTCCCCACTGTCTCTGACCTCGCTGCCCACCTGCGCTCGATAGAGGAGACCTGGCGCGCCGCCTGCACTGACGCACAGCTTAGAGCCCACCAGCCGCCCATTACCTCTACCCTCTACCTGCTTGCCACCCGCCTCCCTGACCGCCTTGCTGTCGCCCGCGACCGCTTCCTTAGTGTTCACCCCGCAGACCTCACCCTCACTGACTTTGTCGACACCCTGACTGTGATAGAGACCCGTCACCGCTCCATCGCCCAGGCGAGCGGTGTCGTGCCGGTCCCTATCTTTCAGGGTTGTGCCCCTGCTCAGTGTACCTTCTCCGACGGCTCTGCCGCAGTGGCTGAGACTGCTGCTGCAGCGCAGGCCCGTTCGGGGAAGGGCCGCCGCCCCAAGGCTGGGCGCGGCGGAGGGGGCGGCGGGGGTGCGGGCGGGGGTAGTGGTGGGGTCGGGTCGCCTGGTGCTGGAGCGGACGAGGGGACCCTGCCCAGTCCAGCTGAGTCGCCGCCCCTGCAGTTGCAGCAGCCGCAGCAGCCGCCGCAGTCGCAGCCTTCGCAGCAGCCGCAGCAGCCGTCGCAGACGCGGCAGACGAGTGTTCTCCCGCCAGGGTGGCCCGGCGCTGGCGATGGACGGGCGCGTGGTGGTGTGCCGCGTGGTGGCTCTGCCGGCGGGCGTTGTCAGTACCAGATCCAGACCGGTCCTCGCCGCGGTTTCGTTTGCGGTAAGATCGGTCACTCCACTCCCCGCTGCTTTCGTCGCCTGGACGACCTCTTTCGTCAGCGTTTCGGCCCGTCGCCAGACCTCCCGGACTGGCACAGTTTGCTTAGTCGTCAGATTCAGATCTTTGATATGGACATGGATGCCATTGTTTCTGCTCTGCATGTGATGTATGCTGATGACTCTAGTGTGCTTCCGTTGCCTAGTGTAGGTGTGCCTAGCTTAGCCTCC